GAAGTTTAAGGGAATAGTGGAAAGTACACTTGGAAATATAGAGTGAAGTGTGTAGAGACCCTTAAACAGCAGACCAAGAAACCAGGTATAATGGGTATGGGCATTTAAATTCTATTGTTTCTAAAATAATTTCACAACTCCTGCACTTTTTAAAACCTACATTTGGACTTATGTCTTTGGTTATTAGCTTTCAAATTAGATTCAACTGTGCTACCTCTGGAGTTCTGGTTGAGGACTACGGAAAGGAGGAATAAAAAGACTAAAATGTGGAATGACAGACAGGGAGAAAAACCAATATCCTAATAATAGCTACATTTTCTTTTTTTCAAAATGCAGTATCTCTATGTTAAATATTTTACATGACATTTAATTTTCCCAAGTGTGAATCATGTGAGCACATGCTGGATACTATTATTATCTCCATTTTACAGATGAGGAAACTGAGGCTCAGAGAGGTTAAGTAACTTGCACAAGGTCACACAGCCAGTAGGCGACAGAGGCAGAGTTGAAACCTGGGCTCCTTGATCACAATGCTTCTGTTTGAATTGACTACTTTACTAAAGATATTGATTCTATAATTCCAATCCTAAATGACAGCGGCAGGATGGAGTTGCCCTTCACTGAGATGAGGGACCTGTGCATTCAGCATGTCGGCACTTTGTGGCTGTGGTTGTGGACATATGGCGGTTGAGATGCTCAGTGAGCATTCAGATGGGGATGCAGTGAGCATCCAACTAGAAGAGGCAGCTGGATAGTGCAGCCTGAACTTCAGGGGTAGATCTAGGCTGGAGATAGAAATTTAGGACTCGTCAGCAGATACTGATATTTAAATCCTTGGTTCCAGGGGGAGATTTGTAAGGAAGTGAGGGTAGTGAGAGAAGACAACTAAGAGCTGAACTCTGGGGGACGCCAAGGTGAGAGAGCAAGATCCAGCCGAGGAGATAAAGGAGAGCAGCCAGGCAGGGGGGCCCGGGAAGCAGGTGCAGATGCTGCTTCAAGGAGGGGCCTGTTGTGTCAGGTGTGAGGGCACGGCCAGAAGGGCAAGGACTGAGACACACCTGAGCTGGCAGCTGCCCTGCGGGTGGGAAGTGCCACACGGCGGCCGCTTTGACAAGAGCGCTTTTTGTGGAGGACAAAACCTGAACGGAGTGTGTTCAAGACAGAAAAGAGGCCCCGACCAGTTTGGCTCAGTGGCTAGAGCGTCGTGGTTGCGGTGGTTGCGGGCACATCCCCAGTAGGGGATGTGCAAGAGGCACCTGATCGATGTTTCTCTTTCATCGATGTTTCTAACTCTCTATCCCTCTCCCTTCCTCTCTGTAAAAAATTAAAAAATATATATTAAAAAAAAGACAGAAAAGAGGAGGAGGACACCAAACCACTGAGTATCTTTCTTCATATCTGTAGTCAGAACGAATTTGCAGATCAATGAAAGTATCATAATTCTCCTTTAAGAATCCCTTCCTCTCTGTAAAAAATAAAAAATATATATATTAAAAAAAAAAGACAGAAAAGAGGAGGAGGACGCCAAACCACTGAGTATCTTTCATCTGTAGTCAGAACGAATTTGCGGATCAATGCGAGTATCATAATTCTCCTTTAAGAGATGGTGCCTCTTAGGAAACTGTACGATCATCGAAGGGCTAGAATGATGATTTATCTCCTAAATGCCTTGCACAAGCTTGGTGTTTAAATAACAATTGCAGAATTTAATTAAACGTTGAAAAGAAAAGGAATATTCCTGCTTCCATCTCACACATCTGTGCTTGACAACACTTTTGAGGGACCTCCTCCTGCCCCCAACACTAAGACACTTCTGGAAGCCTGGCTGACAACAGAAATTGTGTGTGTGTGTGTGTGTGTGTGTGTGTGTGTGTGCGTGTTTTAACCAGTAAAGGTCAAATTGTCATTTTGTGTGTGTGATGAATCTTCAATGCGTAGCTCTGGTCCAGTTGCTGAGAGGAGAGGAAAATTAAAAAAGAAAGTCTTATCCTTGACCACACGCTGGCTCGTGGGAATCCCAGCACAGCGAAACCTTCCAGGCATAGACTTTATCTTTCCTTGGCCTGCGTAGTAAATGCTGTGTTTGTTCATGAATCCTGGCCTTGTTTGAGTCCTGCTTTGCCCTGAATGTAGTTTTATGAGGCACAAAAATCAGACTGTCGTCCTGAAAACAGAAGATTTGTGTTCCCCCCCAGAATGAAATGGTGGCATCTTTCTCCCAATTCGCAGCTCGGTGGGTTTGTGGCTGGAATGCCAATCCGGCGAGGGGCTGGGCACACTGCTCGGCTCGCCTGCGGGAGGGGAGGGAGAGCTGACAGGGCTGAGCCCGAGGCATCATTCACTCCGCGGGCTCTGAATCAGTACACTGACGGCCATTTATGCATAAGTGCTACTCCCCCAGAAGGCCATGGATCGAGGAGTCTTCTTCCTACTACTTTCTCAGGGGTGGGTTCTCTCATGACACATCTAGAACAATTGATGTGTGTGTGTGTGTGTGTGTGTGTGTGTGTGTGTGTGTGTCACTCCAGAGACACACTGTGCCGCCAGCAACCAGATGAGAAACCTTAGCAATCAGAAGGCTGCCTTCATAGATCTTTGCAGACCTATGTACATACATATCCCCAAGTTCACAGACTGAAGGAGAACAAGGAATGGCTAGTTCACGCCGTGTCTGTGTTTCATATGCAGAGTACAGAGTGGCATCCAATTCCAAAGATACCACCAGCAACAACTGGAGGTTGGTAGTGTCACAAAAACAGATGCACATTTTGTTCGTGGACCTAAGGGCGTGGACTCACTCAGAGAGGAAGACAAGTTACAACGGGGGAGGGGGTCTTCTGAGAGGTCACTGTACCTTCAGAGCATCTCTGGGGCTTGACTCTATCAGATACCGGCCATGCTCCCTACACACGCCCCTCTCTTCTGACTCCAGCCTCATTTTGAAACTCATTCCACTCAAATCGAGGGGCTCCCCCTAAGAGTCGTCAGTGAAAAGGAAAGCTGAGCAGAGAAAGCACCGCTTGGAGACTTCTGCACTTTTCCTGAAACAGGAATGGGCTGGGTGCGCTGGGTTTTATGGGGACGCGCGTGTGTGTCTGTGAGGCGCGGCGATGGGATGCTGACCTGGCTTACTTCCTTAAGATGGGGATTAGGAGGAGGCACTCGGCACCTGCCCCAAGGTGGGTCTCCCACCAGCAGCTCAGTCTTTCCCTAAGGCAGGCAATGGTGGGCTTCGGATGCCCCTGCGAACAAAACAGTGACTATGCAGTGGGTCACCCGCTCAGGATGGGCTTTGGAGCCCATGACCAATGGCGCGAGCTCCCTCAGTGTCCGCACTCGGAGTGAAGTAGCACATAGCTCCTCAGACATCCATGAATTTTGATGACCCGTTTATAGCCCCGACACAAGCACCGTTCTGCGAGGGGGTTATACAGTGAGGGACTGTTCCCTGGGCTAGCGAGGCTAGTTCTCCTGTGTCGGGGCTCCCTCTCCAACACCTGCCCCCCTTCTTTCCTCCCCGCCCCCAGCAGACACCTGACACCTCGTATAACACCTGTGGGGCTTTCATCCTCTTCCCTGCTGAACTGCACACACTCTGAGGACAGGAGCGCTCTGTCCTGTCCACCATGAAGCCGGGCCTCCCCCGGGCCTCGCTGTGGCACACTCAGCAAAGATTTGGGGCCTGGATGCATGGACAGACCCACTTTGAATTAGACAGAAAGCAGGTCAATGGGCTCCCGAATTGGTGCATTTGGGGAAGAGGGCATTTGCAGGGCACTTGTTCTAAACTTTTGCAGGAACATTTGAATATCGTATTTCTTGGACTCAACTTTTACAGGACAGCAAGAATACTGATAGTTAAGAAACTAAACACATGAGCTTAGTGATCTTTTCCCAGTTTTAACAGTTCGGAATTTTCAGCTGCTGTTTAATATTTACAGTGTAACTCTTCACACTACCCCAGATGCGGTGAAACTGCAGAGCAATGCACACCATTTATGAACCGTGCTTAGAACAAAGCCTGGCACACAGTAGGTATTCAACAAACGGCAGCCAGTGTCAGCACCCGTAGCGCGGCCGTGGAGTTAGCTGTTATTAAGACAAATATATTGGTCATCTTGACACATGAGCGTATAATCAATAACTCAGCCCAGCTAATGCTTTCCTGGTTCTAACCTCAACTAGAGGCACTTGATTTAACCCCAAAGTCTGAAAAATACTGTCATTTAAAAGTCCATTAACTAAGGAAACAAATCCCTTAAAAGGCAATGTATTCATTTTTATTTCCTTCTTCATGCAAGGATCTCTTCTCTCTTCCCCGAACACAAACAAATATTTTCATGGTTCAAAGCTCATGCTCTTCTTAAGATCAAAAGAACTGGCGCCTTTCTTTGTACAGGCCAAAAAGTGTCAAGAAAAGAAAATGAATTCTGGATACCTCCTTTAAAAAAAAAATCTAGTTTTTACAAAAGTATTACTCCAGGTTGTTGGAAAATAATTAGTACATAACAGAGTCAGCCCATAGCGGTAAAAGCTCTTTACAGAAACCCACCCTTACTGCAAAAGACAGTTAAAGATCAATCCGGGCTATGAAACGTAAGAAACGGAATGTGTTCCACGGGAAGCCCCTAAGCCGTGGACACTAGTTAAGTCTTCAGGAACCATTTTTATCCTGCTAACGCCTTTCCCTCGGGCCGCCATCGATCACAGATGCAACCTGTCTTGCTTCCCCTTTGATAAATGGAAGGACGGATTCATCTGTATGTAACTCACCTCCGCTGGCTTTTACATAAAACAGATGCCACAGCTGTGACTGTTTGCAAACAGATGTTTCTGCCCCGACGCCTGGGAGGCACCGCTACAATGTGCTGCTTGTTGCGGGGGGCGAGGGCCTGACACCTGCCAGGGCCCGGTGCCTGCAGAGGCCTCTGTGTGCCCTCGTCCTGCCCAGCGGCTGCGTTCGCACCCAGAGCAGGACGGACTGTCCCGCCAGCACTTACCCTCTCTGCGGGGACATCGTGGGCCGGCCCGGGGCACACAGGGATGTCGAAGGCCTGGTCCTCGCGCGCCGCGCACTGGGCCTCCTGGTGGCTGACAGCGGGGGCCTGTTCCTGCCCCTTGTCCAGTTTGAAGAGTTTATTAAAAAAGCCGGCGTCCTTAGGCTTGGAGGGGGCCGCCCCCCCTGACTCAGGTGGCCGAGG